AAAGAAGACCTTCCTTCTTTGTTAAGTATTTGATTGTGTTGGCATTTCAACAGAAGTCAATTACTTTTGTGACTAGACAATTAAAATGAACACTGGCTTGTCTTATTCAAAACCAGATGAAGTTTAGGTTAAAAAAAAATAGTATTTTGCTCTAAAAATTTTAGCATGATGAAGTTACTTAGTGCTTAATTCTGTTCTTTTTTTTTTTTTTTTTTTTTTGGTTTTTTACGAGACAGGGTCTCTCTGTATTGTTTTGGAGGCTGTCGGTCTAGTCTGGCCTCGAACTCACAGAGATCCTCCTGCCTCTGCCTCCCGAGTCTGGGATTAAAGGCGTGCGCCACCACCGCCCGACAATGCTGTTCTTTCTTAGCCCTGTCAGTAGAATGGGGTCTTTAGGGAAATACAGTGAGAGAGAGAGAGAGAGGAGGTCATGTCATAGCTTATGGAATGAAGTCCGTCCTCTAGAATTTCCCTCCCCCTTCCTTGTGGCCTCCTGCATCTAAGCAGAGATTATAGTACAGGTTTAGCCTCAGTCCCTAGAATGCTTTAAAAACTTTTTAAAATCTTTAAAATGTAATGCCGGGTGGTGGCGGCGGCGCACATCTTTAATCCCAGCACTCGGGAGGCAGAGGCAGGCGGATCTCTGTGAGTTCGAGACCAAGCCTGGTCTACAGAGCAAGTTCCAGGACAGGCTCCAAAACAATACAGAGAAATCCTGTCTCAAAAACAAAACAAAACAAAACAAAACAAAGCAAAAAATCTCATGTAATATATTTTGATAATATTCTTTCCCAACTCCTCCCAGATCCTCACCACCTTCCTACCCACCCAATTTCATGTGCTCTCTCTCTCTCTCTCTCTCTCTCTCTCTCTCTCTCTCTCTCTCTCTCTCTCTCTCTCTCTCTCTCTCTCTCTCTCTCACTCTCTCTCTCTCTCTCAAGTAAACAGGAAAAACAACAACAACAAAATCCTCAAAAATCAGAACAAACTTTAAAAAATCAATGAAACAAAGAAACAAAATGTCCACCAAAAGAGACCCAAAATTAAACAGCCAAATAAAACAACAAAAAGCCTTGCCAGGCAGTGATGGTGCATGCCTTCAATCCCAGGCAGGCAGGCAGGCAGGTCTCTATGAGTTAGAGGCCAGCCTGGTCTACAGAGGTGATTCCTGAACAGCCAGGGATATACAGAGAAGCCCTGTCTCAAACAAGCAGACAAAAACCCAGGAGTCTGTTTTATGCTGGCCGGCTACTCTGGGGCATGGGGTGTGCTCTGGATTGTGGTTGATGAACCCAGCGACACTCCACTGAAGAAAAAGGATTGCAGATTTTCCCTTCTCCTAGTAGGCATCAATTGGCTAAGGGTGGGACCCTATGTCTCCTTCCCTTGCCCTTGCTGGGGTTTCGTCTGGTTTGAACTTCTGCGGGTCTTGTGTGCGCCGTCACAGCCTCTGAGAGTTCATACGTGCATCCGTCCTATTGTGTGTGGAAGATGCAGTTTCCGTGTGGTGATCCACCACCTATTGCTTCCAGGGCTGGGTATCTCCTGGAGGGAAGGCCGACGAGCCCACTGCCTGAAGTACTTACTGATGGATTGTTCATCTGTATCTCGGTGCAGGCACAGCCTGTTCTGTCCTGATGTTCTGTGTGCCCTGGGCTGTCTGGGTTCCCCTGCATGATGCATCTGTCACCTGACCTGGAGAGGGGAGTGTTGCCATGCTTGCTTTGGAACCTCCAGTTCCTCTAATGAAAGGGGAGGGGCCGAGACGAGGGCTTTCCTTCGCTGTTTCCTCTTTGGCAGTTTCTTTTGACACTTGTCACCAGACCAGGTCTGTATCCTTCTCATGCCACTGCCACAGTGACTTTCTCCAAACACTGCTTGCTGTTTCCTCGTATTTACTAAATCCACAGACATTAAACCCAAACTCCTCCCTTCTTTCCTTGGGCGTTTTTTTTTTAATTCCTGGATTTACTTGCTCAGGCCGGTGTTGAGGTTTCTTCCCGGTGGTGGTGTTTGTTGGTTTTTTTTTTTGTTGTTGTTGTTGTTACAGGGTGTATGTCACCCAGGTTAGCCTTGAACTCCCTAGGTAGCCAAGGATGACTTTGAACTTGCAGTCCCCTGCTTCTGCCTCCCAAGCAATGGGAGTCTAGGCAGGCACCCACCGCCACTCGCTGTTTCTGAAGTGCAGGAGACCAGCCCCAGGGTTCCACGCATAGTAGGGCAAGAATCCTTTCTTTGGGCTGCATCCTCAGCTTCCCCAATCACTTTCTGTTAATTTTTGTTAATATCTGTTAAAGTGTCACCACAGAAAACATTTGATTAGAAATGTGTAGAAGTCTCTAGACTATTTCTCTTCTTTGTCCCATTCTTTCTTTCTTTTTTTTTTGTAATCTAAAAAGCTACAAAAACCACACTCTTTACTTGTGTAAGCACTCTAAAATGTTTTGTCTCAAGATCCAATTACTAAAACCGCGACTTACTCACCCCTAACATATAGAATGATGGCTCCCAATGAAGGATGGCCTCCCAAAAAACATTAAATATGCCTAGATAAGTTTTATTTGGCACAACTGGGTACTGCTCTCATCCAGGGGTAAAGGTTACAGTTTGCTGCTATCCATAACACAGACCCAATGACAAAGACTAACCTATTCCCAAATGTCAGCCAAGGCACCAAGAAGAAACCTGATATAGAATTAGCAGCTCTGTGTGTGTATGTGTGTTTTTACACGCACACGCCTGCCTGCTTATACCTGCCTGTCTGTGATATATAGTATCTACATGCATCTGTACAGTTTACTTGCTTGGGATTCTTCTTTTAGTTTTAATTTTTTAAACACACACACGCACACACACGCACACACACACACACACACACGCACGCACGCGCGCACATACACGTACGCACACACGCACGCCAGCTGCAAGGCAGTTGTGGACTTGATCCCCATTCTGTGTTTGTTTTTTTTTACTTTCTCTGCACTGCACGTGGCTTCTACATATTCCATTCTTACAGTTCTGGTCTGCTTTTCTTTTCCTTTGTTTCCGAGGAGGGTATTAGTTACTCATCTGTTGCTCTGATGAAATACCACAACCAAGACAACTTGCAGAAGAAGGGGTTTATTTGGGCTGTGGCTCCAGAGGGTTGAGAATCCACATCAGGGAGGCAAGGCAGCAGGGGCAGGAAGCTGAGAGCTCTTCAGTTGCAAACAGGAAGTAGGGAGAGGGAACTGGAAGTGGGAAGGAGCCATCGTCTGAAACCCTGCCCCTAGAGCTGAGTTCCCAACAAGACTGTCTGCACAACCTTCCCAAACAGCCCACTGAGAACCGAGTGCTCAGATGCCCACCCAAGCCTGTGGGGGGCATTTCCTTCTCAAGCCTTCCAGAGAGGTCTGGAACGTATTTCGAAGCTCTGGCCTTAAGAGCACTAGGATTACAAGTGTGAGCACTGTTCCTGGTTCAAACAAACAAATTTTCGGTGTCCTCTTGCTGCAGTGACACAGTAACACTCAAGCACAAAAGGAAACCTTAGCAAATGGTCACTTAAAATTTTAAGTTGTTTTAATATTATTTATTTTGAGACAGAATCTCACTGTGTACCCTGGCTGGCCTAGAACTTACAGAAAGGTGTCTCCTTTGGTTTTCCTGAGTGCTGGGATAAAAGGTGTGCACCCTCATGCCCACTCAGAATACTGTTACTTGATCAGTGTTTTCAAAGTTTAGTTGTATTTTATTTTGCTTTTAATTTATTTTTTTTCTTGACTTGTACTTTAGTAATATGTGAGAAAGACAATCTTTTTTGTTTTTGTTTTTTAGGCAGGGTTTCTGTGAAGCCCTAGTTGTCCTAGAACCCACTCTGTAGAACAGGCTGGCATCACAGAGATATGCCTGCCTCTGCCTCCTGTGTACTGGGATTAAAGATTTGTGCCACCCCCGCCTGAGGTGGTTTTGTTTCCTGTTTGTGTATGTAATGTTTGGGTTTGCATGTTTGGGTGTTTGGCTTAGAGTAAAATTTAAAAAAATTGTTTTTACGTTATGTGCATTTGTGTTTTGCCTACATACATGTCTATGTGAGGGTGTCAGATCTTGGAGTTGTAGATACTTGTAAGCTGCCATGTAGGTGCTGGGAGTTGAATAAGGTCCTCTGGAAGAGCAGTCAGTGCTTTTAACCTCGGAGTCATCGCTCCAGCCACTGAGAGTAAAAATTTTAAGCCAGTGGAGAAGAATAATTTTGAAAGAATTTGCCGTAATTGTTCTACCTCGAATAGCCTTAGTTTTTCTCAGAGCTACCTTTAAGTAGATTCTCAGCCAGGTGTGGTGGTGCACACCTTTCATCTCAGCACTGAAGAAGCAGAGGCGGGTCCAGCTCTGTGAGTTCTAGTCCAGCCAGTACTACATAGTGATGACCTTTCTCAAAGAAAAAATATCCAATTTCTGAAGTCACAGTCGGGCTACATTAGGGGTGAACGGTGCCAGACCTCACGGTTCACAAATGTGTAGATCTTTACTTTGCCCCGGGTTCCACAGAAGTTATTTAACACTGAAGTAGCCTTTAGGACAGCAAAGGTAAGTTAGTTACATCCTTATGTAAATGTGCATTATTTCCAAGTCTATGCAGTCACTGCTTGCCTATTATTTTATGTGCTGGGCTGTCCGGGGATGACCAGAGAGCTCTTGTGTGTGATTACCTCGGTGCTTTTATAGGTCGAAACTCTCGCTTTTAGTCTGAGGGTTTCACTGAGTTCTTTTTTATTGAAGGATTAGGAAGAGTGTAGGAAGTGTCTGTTGAAATGATTTGCTGTCTAGTAACATAGCTGGAGCTATGTAAGTGCTTGTAAATGCAGCTTTATTGTGAAGGTTCCCCGAGACCAGGACTGAAAAGCTGGTCCGGAGACTCTCAATATGTCCCTCACCTACCCTTTAGTGTCTGGGTATCCGGAACTTGTGTCTGCAATCACTGTGAATGTAACGCCTGTCGTGTGGTCTTTTCTTTTAAACAGGGGGAAGTGCAGCGTTGCCCTGCTGAATGAGACAGAATCGGTGCTGTCCTACCTTGACAAAGAGGTAAATCACAGTCGTTTTCACTTTGCGATTTCTCCCCATTACTTCATGTGAAGCCCATACTGTGGACTTGTATTTCCTTTTGTGCTTCAGTGTTGCTGTGACATTCCAACAAGAGGACACCGACTGGAGTGCTTTTGGGCAATTGCATTGTCCTAGCTGAAGGCAGAGTTAGCAAAAGTGATAGCTCTGTCACTTGCCAGCGAGAGGCTTCCTGAAGTTACATGCAACTCAGGGTGCCGATGAGGATGTGCCTCTCTGATTCTCATTCCTTCCCTCTGTGGTCTGTTTTTGAATAAGCGCCTCACACTCTGGTGGCTCTGCAGAGTTCGTAAGAACAGGCAGCCAGGCCACTGTGCTTATTAACTCTAGGGCACTGGAGACTGTTTGTTTGTTTGTATGTAAAAATGTAGGTGATGGGAGGGGCGGACACAGATGCTACTGTATGTATATGGAGGTCAGAGGACAACTCGGGGCAGTCATGTCTCTCCTTCTACCCTTTTATGTGGGCTTGGGGGATCAAACTCAGATGGGTAGTCTTGGGCTGTAGGCTCCTTTACTCCCTGAGCCTTCTTGCAGGCTCTATTGAGCTTTTGAAGGCACCAGTGTGTAGGTTGGTGGTAATTGTGTGTTTATTTATTCTGTGTCTATACACATGACTATGCATTGCAATTTAAAAGAGAATGACAGATTTAGAATAATAATTACATGAGATTTGTATAGTGGTATTAACAAACACATGTAAGGGGGCTGGAGAGTTGGCTCAGTGGTTAAGAGCACTTGATGCTCTTGCAAAGGATCTGGATTTAATTCTCAGCACCCGCATGGTAGCTCACACTCACCTGTAACTCCAGTGTCAGGGGATCTGGTGCCCTCTCCTGGCCTCTGCGGGCTCCATGTGTGTATGTGATACACAGGCATACATGCCGGCAAACACTAATACACATAAAAGAAAAACAAATAAATCTTAAAAAACAAAAAACTACATTCAAGTTCCACTCTTGTATATTTAGTCATTATGTTGGGTTTTTGTTTGTTTCTTTATTGTTCCCTGGCTGTCTTGGAACTCAAAGAGATCCACCCGCCTCTGTCTCCTGAGTGCTGGGACTAAAAACGTGCACGTGCAACCATGCTCCAGCTGCATTTTGTTTCTGAAACAGGTTTTTTCTGTATAGCTCAGACTAGCCTGAAAAAAAATCCTCCTGCCTTAGTCTCCCTGCTAGCCCTCCCAGCAAGCCCCTCAGAACTCAGTTTAGAGTAGTTAATGGCTTTCTCTTATATTAAGACAAATTGCAAAATTTTATATTCTTCCTAAAGTTATTTGTTTTGGTCTTATGTAATTTTGTGCTATTGCACGTGATGACAGTATTGCCATGTTCTCCTTGAAGATTTATTAATTTGTTCACTAAGATGAAATTTCATCGTAAGATGAAAATTCGTTAAAGTTACAATTTTCATTTTTGTGATATTGATTTGATTGCTTTATAGAAAGTGGAAGGAATCCAGCTTACTTGGGTAGTTGATGGGGGAAGTCCTGTGTATATGTCAATAAAGCACTGTTGGCCAATAGGGAAGCAAGATAGGTGGGACTAGGAGTCGAGGAGTATGCTGGGAAGGAGAAACACAGGGAGTCAAGATGTAACCTCCATAGGGGTAAGAAGCCCTGAAACTTTTCTCCGGTAAGAGAAATACTTAGATTGGCAGTTATGGGGTAAATACTTAAGTCAGAGAAAGCCAGTAAGAAACAAGCAAGGTCAACATCTTCATAATTAATACAGCGTCTTGTGTGTGATTTGGGGACTACAACATGGCAGAGCCCAAGTGACTCGTGGCGAAAAAACAAATGGGCAGAAAAAGAAAAAGGCTTTTCTCTACAGGTGGTCTTTGTCATTCTTGTTTTCCAGGATGCCTTCTTCTACTCATTGGTGTATGACCCTTCAGTGAAGACATTATTAGCTGACAAAGGTGAAATCAGAGTGGGCCCAAAGTATCAGGCTGACATTCCAGATATGCTACCGGAAGGTGCGTGCTTCGGCTTTAAGTTCAGGGAAGCTGCTGTCTTAAAACATGAAGGTTTTTGTCCTCAGGGACGAAGAGTGTAAAGGGAGAGTCTAACAGTTCGAGCCTTCTAATTTTAGAAGCATAGTAAGCATCAGAGAATAATATACACACTTGTTTACTCTTTTATGACTTCACATTTGTTTGTTTGCATGGATGTGGGGTGTGTGTGTGTGTGCGCGCACTCCACACATGTATGTATGTTTGTGAGTGTGGGGTACAGTAGGCCAGGGGTCAAAATTGGGTAGGGGTCTGTCTCTTTATCTTTTGGGTCATGCCCTTTAACTAAGCTGGAACCTGCTCATTTCACTGGAGTGGCTGGCCGGCAAGCTCCAGGGATGGCCCCATGCCCCCCCGCGCGCTGCATTGCATGCGTGCTCTACTGTGCCCAGCACCTCACGCGCTGCATTGCATGCGTGCTCTGCTGTGCCCAGCGCCTGTCTTTATATGGGTGCTTGTTGGCATGGCTAGCACTTTGCCCACTGACCATCTCTAAGGCTCTATGACTGTTTTTTAGCTTTACACTGTTAGTGAGTGCAGTGATGGGTGTGGTAGCACATGCCTTTAAGAGGCAGGCTGATGTGTGTTAATGTGAGGATAGCCTGGTCTACAAGTGAGTTCCAGGCCAGCCTAGCCAAGGCTGCATAGACCCTGTCTTAAAAACCAACAAAAACAAAAAAAGTTAAAAAAAGAAAACCTCGTTAGTGTTGTTGAGTTTTGATTTAATGTGTGATCCATATTCATTCATATTCTCCCTCTAATCCTCTGTATCCCCATACCCCACCCCACCTTGGAGGATCAGGCTTTGTTGTTGTTTGTTTTTGTTGGTTGTGGGATTTTTTTGTTTGTTTGTGTTTGCTTTTCGAGACAGGGTTTCTCTGTGTAATATAGCTCTGACTGTTCTACAACTCACTCTGTAGACCAGGCTGGCCTCAAACTCACAGAGATCTGCCTGCCTCTGCCACCAGAGTGCTGGGGTTAAAGGTGTGCTCCGCCACTGCCCGGAAAGAACCTTCTTTCTGATTAATATCTGTTAGGGGAAAGGACCTTAAGCATTAACAACAGATGTCTAAAGTCATGAACATGAGTGTGGTGTGGGTGTGTATGCTTGTAAACCCAGCCCTTGGGAGGCTCAAGAAAGAGGGTTGTGGGTTCCATCGTGAACTGCATGGCAAGACTATGTCTTGGAAAATAAATCAACAGTCACAAGTCTGAAACAAACCGAGGTGTTGCCACCACATGGCAGTGTAGGCAGTGAAGTACCTGGCTGCAGGACCAGTGGATAGTAGAATGCAGAGTATTTGAGAACGAGTATTTAGGACTCTGCAGTTCCAGCCCGCTGAGCCAGTTGACGGTCTCCAGTGGCTGCAGTCTGACCAGTGCCAGATCATAATCTGCGTGGGAATGGGAGGCGGACCTGAAGTAATACCCTGGGTAGGTGGCAGCAGCAGCTTGCCAGAATCTGCTAACAGGCTTGCTTTCTTTGTGAACATGTCCTGACGGACATGGTTGAGGTGTTTTAGGATTCACTTAAGACTCACCATCCCTTAGCAAATACTTCAGATCTGGAATGATGAGTATGTACCTTGAAAATGAAGGTAAAGATTTGATTTTAAATATTTCATTAAATTCAAATAGACTACCTCGTGTGACTTTCCCATGGAAAAATATAAAGTCATGTAGGAAATTTAGAATTATTACTTAAATGTATTATAGCACTAGCATTTGAAGAAAGAAGTCTGTTCTATAGATGATATTTTAAACTGTTAAATGGTTAAACTAAGGTGAACCGCTGATGCCCAGATTTTGGTAAAATGTAGGTAATAGGTCCTAATTATAGTCTTGGGAAATAGTTCCACCTGTCTGACCAGGCCTTTTCTTTCTCCTTAAAAAAAGAGTATGTGGGCTGGGCAGTGGTGGTACACTCCATTAGTCCCAGCAGAGGCAGGAGGTTCTCTGTGAGTTCAAGGCCAGTCTGATCTACAGAATGAGTTCCAGAACAGCCAAGGCTACACAGAGAAACCCCATCTTGGAAAACCAAAAAGGAAGGAGGGAAGGAAGGAAGGAAAGAAGGAAAGAAGGAAGGATGGATGAATAAATATATGCGGTTGTGTCTTTGGCATTGTGATTAGTGGATGTTTTACCATCAGCAGTGGACTGTGAATTTCAGAGGTGGGGGCTTCTCTTTTGAGGGCTAAATAATTAATCTGTGCATATTATGCATTGTAGAAACAAGATCAGCTCACCTGTCATGAAACAGGAACCTGTGAGCAGACAGTGTAGAACGGTGTCCTTCCCATGGGCTTCCCGAAGTGCTGGGAGAGCGCCTCCATCCAGCGCAGGCCTCCAGGAGGCTGTTTTTGTAGCCCCCGGAATCTGTTGCACTGCTCCGCTATCTATGGAAGAGCCACACCGGCAGCTTTTCTTGGCAAAAGGGAAAACACTCCTGCACCTTGGATTCGGTTTTTAATTCCACTGAAACTCTGTGCCAGAATTTCCATCTCATTGGCCTCCAGGGGTGGGGGTTTAAGGAGGTAAAGATCAACAGACCTTTGTGCTCCGTGCAGATGACAGTGGAGCCTTCGTTTTGGCAGTGTTTCAGTTATAGCCCTTCCTGTTTGCTCCGTTGAATGCAGGGAGGGCAATTCCCTGGGTTTTGAAAGTTCTAGCCATTTCCCCATAAACCCTGTGGTCGTCTTCTCTCTCCTTCTCTTCTGATGATGCTCAACAGAGGAACTAACTGCACCCCCAGTTCAACCATGTTGTTTGCAGTGGCTAATTTTGTAGATGTAGATCTCTCAGCACTGTGTTAGGAATCTCATGCTGGGAACAGAAAAAAGCTGAACCCTGGTGCCAGCTTGGCACCCTAGTCTCCAGGAAAGAGACTTCATATTTTGTTTTGGCTTGTTATTTTGAGCAGGATCTCACTATGTAGATCTAGCTGGCTTGGAGATTATGTTGAGCAGGCTGGCCTGGAGATCCACTTGCCCCTGCCTGCCCATTGCTGGATTAACGGTGTGTGCCACCATGCCCAGCTTCACACAGTTTTTTAACTTATTTGACTTCCTTGCAGGAGAGGCTGGAGCAGAGGCAGTGATGGGCAGAGCCACACCTAGACCACACCTTGGTCAAGGTGTGAAGGCGGGGACAATAATGAGTTCACTAGACCCAAGATAAATGATAAATGGGTGTTTTATTGGGGAACAATTTACACAAATAATAGTAAAAGAACCACTGTGGCCTTCCTGTTCCAGAAGATGCAGCCTCTGCCCTCCAGATCCCACCCGTGGTTCCATCCACAACTGAAACCACGCCCAAAGGGGTGTGGCCACTGGCAAGGTTAGGTGCTTAGTTGTGCTTAGCTGTGGCCCTCTACTTAACAGCATCTCTGGTCAGGACCACAAAGGTGGACTTGGAGGGGCGCTGGATCTCTGCCCTTCCTCCTTCATGGTCACATTGAATAGTCTTCCTTTAAAGTTGAGTATAAGCAGATATACATTGCAGACATATAGAAAAGTAATTCTCAGCAACAGGACAAGTTTGTTCCCTAGGAGACATTAGGCAATGCATGAGCGTTGTTGTCATATTGGGGAAGAAAGTAGGTAGGTGATAGTCTGTAGGCACACCTTAGATAAAGCCCCCTAATGCTGCCAAACATGGGACAATGCGCAGAATGTATTCAACCCCAAGTGTCAAATGCCTAACTTGAGAAAACCTGGCATAATGGCTTCTTGGGATGTTGTAAGTGTTCAGTTAGTGTCAGTTATTATTTATATGATAATAGTACTTAAATTTCAAATTATTAATTTTTACTTTAGTATATTTCTTGATTTTTTTTGAAATAAGGTCTCATACTCCTAAAATTAAGTTCTCCTAAATTTATCCTGTGTGAGAATTGTACAAAAATGCTATCAGAAAGACTTAACACTTCACTGTTTATTTATTCAAATCATCTTTCCTTTGGAAGTTCTAATAATTATATAAATATACTGCGAATGTTATATTTCTTATTTTTATTGTCACAATGAATGTGAATTTTTTCTTATATTATAGTTTTTTTGGAATTTCACTGAGCTTTTTATATTCATATTTATGATGCTATTCCAGTAACTTATTATTCCTTTGATTCATATCCCAGTATATCATCCAGAGGTTTCTGAGCAATATTCAACAAAAATGGTGATAAATGGCATCCTTGGGCGTTTCTGATTTAAATATAACATACAAAATTGCCAGGCAGTGGCAGCTAGTACAACTAAGATGAATTTTATTTAGGAAGCAGATATTTCCAATTGTCAAGGAAAGGGCTTCTAGGATGTATGGCACAGCCTTGGTCCTTCCATCTGGGAGTGCCACTGGGTGCTTATGAGGCATATACCGAAGAAATGGTTGTTTAAGCACATTTCTAGATCTACGTTTCTCCAACTTTATGTGAAAAAAGGAAGTGGGGAGCTATACAGTCTTGTAATTAGTTTTCTTTTGTTGGGGTGGCGTCTCATTATGCTGTCCTGGCTGGCCCGGAACTTGTGTCCCTTTTCCTGTGTCTATTGCCAAGTGGGATTATAGGCATGCATGAGCATACCTGGCAGGAGGTCTCAGGAGATGTCAGATGATGCTAATGGTGATGCTGATGTTGATGCTGATGCTGGTGCTGATGTTGATGCTGGTGCTGATGCTGATGGTGATGGTGATGCTGGTGCTGATGCTGATGCTGGTGCTGATGTTGATGGTGATGCTGGTGCTGGTGCTGATGCTGACACTGATGGTGATGGTGATGCTGGTGCTGATGCTGATGGGTGCTGCAGTATTGGTTTGCTGGTTTCACCATCTCTGCACACCTGCCGTCAAAGGATGCCCCCAGATGTGACCACTGTTTACCTGACATTTGAGCGCTTCTGATGCAGTGGCCATGGTCATCAGTCATATGCCGCAGTGTGTATAACAGCACACCTTTCCTTTGTTTTTTGCACAGGAGACTCAGATGAGAGGGAGCAATCAAAATTGGAAGTTAAAGTTTGGGATCCCAATAGTCCACTTACAGATCGACAGATTGACCAGTTTTTAGTTGTAGCCCGGTAAGTATGCCGTTATCCAGTCAATTCTTTTTATGAAACAACTTACACTTGTGTATAGTTCCTTTTTTTAAAAATGTTATTTTATTTTATATGTATGTGTATTTACCTGAATTTATGTATATGTACTATATGTGTGCCTGTTGCTTTTGGAGAACAGACGAGGGTACTGGATCTCCTGGAACTGGAGTTACAGACAGTTGTGAGCTACCACATTGGTGCTGAGAACCAAGCCCAGCCCAGGTCCTCTGTGAGAGTGGCAATCTCTAAAGCCCCTATTTCTTTCCTTCCTTCCTTCCTTCCTTCCTTCCTTCCTTCCTTCCTTCCTTCCTTCCTTCCTCTCTCCTTCCTCCTTTCCCCCCTCCCTTCCTCCCCATCCCTCCCTCCATACTTCCTTCCTTTTTATTTTTTTAAGACAGTCTCTCTGTGTAGTCCTGCTTGTTTTGAACTTAAAGAGATCCACCTGCCTTTGCTTTCTGAAGACTGGGATTAAGGATGTGTGCCATCGTGTCTGGTATATATCCCTTCTTCATGGGCCAGCCCCCCACCCTATTGGTTGAATTTTTCTAGACCTGTGAGAAAACCCACTGTCTAGTTGACATTGTCCACCAAGTGATGTGACTTACTGTCGTTAATTTGTTATGGGTGAAAGCGTTTCATTTTAATTAAGAAGTGGAAGCAAGGGCTGGGGTGGAGTACTTGCCCGCCTCGCCTGTGCAGCATCCCAGCTCTGATGCTCAGCGCCACTAGAAGAACAGAAGGGTAGGCTTAGCGTAGATGAATACCACGTACACGTTTTTCCAAAAGCAGAAGCACAAGAAAGGACGTGCACGCCCGAATCCCAGCTCGTCCATGGAAGAAATGCTCTCTGTCTTGGACATTGCTGAGCTCTAAACTGAGCTATTCGGGTGCCAGGACAAATGTGTTGTTCGGTCCAGGGGTTGCAGCCACACTTGCAATCCCAGTACCTAGGAGAGGTGAAGGCAGAGAGATCAGGAATTTGGAGCTAGCCTGGGATCATAGTGAATTTGAGGGTAACCTGGACTACCAGAGACTGTCTCAAAAAAAAAAAAAAGTCCACAATGAAGGTGAGAGGGAGAAGAGGGTAGAGGCCACGTGAGGCAGTGTAAGACGGAAGCTGCTGCTTGCACAGGGTTTCCCCGAAGGCTTCATCGCCTTGCTTTTCCACCTGGCTCTTCCCGTAAGCAATGAGTAGGGGCAGGATTTTATTCTTATTACTTCAGTTATAAAAGTAAATGAGGCTTGTGGGGAAAACTGCCTCAAAAGAGAAAGTGAATGAGATGAACATACCATTGTAATGGTAGATAAATTAGGAAAAGAGAAAGTGAATAAGATGAACATACCATTGTAATGGTAGATAAATTAGGGAAAGCCCTCAATGGACACCAGCAATCAACTGATGAACGAATGAGTTTTACTCCTACAGTGGGATAGTACTTTATATCCATTAAAATGAGAGAATTTGAATTTATGTAGCAAAGATAAATCCTCAAATATTGACTGAAGGCCCACAGAGTATGATTGTTTATGTGTTTATACTGTGTTCATTTATTCGAAAAGACCATATAGTGTGCAAACTGTTTTATTTCATTGATGGATATATTATGGTTTATAAGAGACTGCAACCAAATTTATAATGTTTACTTTTTTATATGAATCAGACATGACAAAATATTCAAATCAGTTTAACCCAAATAATGGGCAGAAGGATCTCTGCGATAGTCTCTTATTTTCTATTGAAACAGTCCTAGATTATCTTCAGACAGCCTTGTTTATAAGGACAGTCATCATGGAGGGACACACTCTGATAGTGGCCAGACAATTAAGGTTCAGAACCTGTCTTAGTTAGGCTTTTTATGGTGGAAAGACATCATGACCACAGCAACTCTTACAAGAAAAACATTTAATTGGGTTGGCTGACAGTTTCAGAGGTTCAGTCCATTATCATCATGGCAGGGAGCATGGCGGCATGCAGGCAGATGTGGTGCTGAGGCTGTGAGTTCTACATCTTTCAGGCAACAGAAAGTTGACTGAAACTGGATGGTACCCTGAGCATAGGAAACCTCAAAGCCCACCCCCACAGTGACACACTTCCTCCAACAATGCCACACCCACTCCAACAAAGTCATACCTTCTAATAGTGCCACTCCCTATGATGTTATGGGGGCCAATTACATTCAAACTATTACCACAGAGCCCCTACGTTTACAGCGGGATGATTGGATGGAGGCATTAGGCGTTCGTTGCTGGGGCAGCAGATGGCCAATGGAGCAGAGGCTAAGAAGTAGGAAGAAGCAATGAGCCATGGAGATGGCGCTGGCCATATGCTCAGGAAAGTCCCTGCGTGGTGGGTTGTGGGGGAGACCTGCAGTTTCCCAATTCATTTATATTGTTTTTTTTCCCCCTCAGACTACAGATTGCTGTCCACATTTATGAAACCTGAACGAGGGTGTCTTTTTATAAAAACTACTTTAAAATGTTTAATTAAGCAAACAAGCAAAAAAACCAAAATACCGAATCTAAATACAAATTAAAACCAATTCTTTTTAGTTTTAGTTTTTTATTTTATTTTATTTTTTAAACAGGGTCTCAGGTCTCATTCTCTGTAGTAAATCCTCATCTGTACCGATCCCCATCTCAGCTTCCTGGGTGCTGAGTACAGTTATTAGACATCATGGCCAGTGCCTATCCCAACCACATTATTACAGTTGTGTACACACACACACACACACACACACACACACACACACACACACACACACACACACACACCACCCTCTTATTTTGAAGTGCTGGGACTCATTTAAACTAGCCAAGCCCCGCACTTCTGAAGTGCTGTGGTTGGCATAGGTATGGGACAGTGGGCTGTGGTCTTGTCCACCTGGTGGGACTATCAACTGGTGCAGCTGCTTTGAAAACCTGTTTGCTGTTGTTTCCCACACATCCCATAAGGGTTACTGCTAACATCACACTCAGGAGCAAAGTATTCTGGGCACTGGAAGATGTGCTTGCAAATGACCTTAAAAAGCAGCATCTACAACCTGGTGTAGAGATGGGGTAAAGAAACATAAGAGATGCCATTGCAGAGAAAATGCATTAATATCTCCAGCTAACAACTTAGGTGACTTTCAAAGGATTAAGCAAGAGAGAAAGAATAAAAAACAGTGTGCATTCAGGTATGGGGCCTATAATAGATTTGTAATCCCGTGCTTAGGAAGCCAAGGCCAAGGATTTTGAGTTTGATAGCAGTCAGGGCTGCATAGTTCCAAGCCAACCTAGGCTAGAAAACAGCAGCAGCATGTTTACTGTGTGTGGTTTCATGTCAGCAAAACTATTCTGTGGTCTTAGCATCCTGGTGGTGCCAGTCAGGAGTGATGGTGCACACCTATAATCCCAGCACTTGGGAAGCCAAGGTGACGTCACAGGCTAGCCTCAGCTCCCTAGCAAGACTCTGCCATGGTGTGGTTTTTGTTTTTGTAGTTGTTAGCTTTTGTTGTTTGTTTTGTATTAAACAGGGTCTCACTATATAGCCCTGACTGGCCTGGAACTCGTAGAGATCCTCCTGCCTCTGCCTCCTGGATTGAAGATGTGGGTCGACACATTCAGCTATGGCTTTGTTTGTTTCTTAGAATCTAGGATGCTGGTTCCTTTTGGGACAGTGTGGGAAGGGTCAGCCACCTTCTGTTTCTTCGCTTGGGTGTTGGTTGGACCGTGGACATACTCACTTTGTGAGAACTAAGTATCTGTATAGTGTTGTAAGGTTTGCTTCTTCGTACATAGTAGATTTTAAGTAAAATGATATGAGGAAGTCTTCCCCAGCTATCCTGTCCAGCAAAGCAGGCTGTACATGGATCCTGTACCTCTTGAGGTTAAGGTTCCTTGTACAGAAAGGATCTAGATTATTATAAATGGAATCAGTGCTGTGGAAGTTGCTTTTTTTTAGTGGTATAGTAAAAACATATTATTTTGAGTCTCCACAGGAAGGGGTTTCTGTTGTAACATTCTGTGTGAAAAAATGTTACTGGATTTCACAATTGGTATTTAGAACTTGTTCCGCAGTGGTAGCCAAACTCTCAGCGAATTTCCTTCTCCTATATTTAAGCACATATGAATACCAAATGATGTGTCCCCTGGCATTTTAGAATGTCTTCCCTTTCCTTCTCTGTGACCACACAGGCTTGGTTTTTTTTTTTTTCTTGCTTGAATGCTAATTACCTACATATGCTGGAACACTTGTACCTGAGCTGCTCAGGGTCCTGGTTTGTGTTTCGTTTCTGATTTGGTGTCTACATATATGTGATGAGTTGTCGTGGGGATGGGTCCCAAGACTGAACATGGAATTCTTTTATATTTTGTATGTATCTTGCAGAACCTTAAAGTAATTTCATACAATATCTTTTAATGACTTACTATTTTTACTCTATTGTATTTTATGTGATTTGGTATTTTGCCTGTGTGTATGCCTGTGTGATGGTGTCAGATCCCCTGGAGGTGGAGTTACAGACAGTTGTGAGCTGCTGTGTGGGTGCTGGGAATTGAACCCAGGTCTTCTGTTCCAGTCAGTGCTCTTAACCATTGAGCCACCTTTCCAGCTCCCCCCTCCACACACAATATCTTTTTGTTGTTGTTGTTGTTGTTTTGTTTGAGATAGGATCTCACAGTGTAGCCTTGACTGGCTTGGGACTCACTTTGTAGACCAGGCTGGCTTCCAGTTCATAGAGATCCTCCTGCCTCAGCCTCCTGGTCGTAGCATGCATACACCACCCATTGAGCAAATTTTTTAATTATTTATTTTTTATTTCATGTGCATTTGTGTTTTTGCCTCTATGTATATCTGTGTCAAGGTGTCAAATCCCCTGAATCTGGAACTGCAAGCTGTTATGAGCTGCCTTGTGGATGCTGGGAGCTGAACCTGGGTCCTCCGGAAGAGCAGCCAGTGCTCTTAACCACTGAGCCATCTCTCCAGCTCCTCAAGCAAAATCTTAAATGATTTTGTATATGAAAAAAATAGCATGGAATTTTTCATTGTGTCATGGAGTTTCAAATTTTTGAACATTTTACTTCTGAGTTAGGATTACTCAGATTGTATTAAATCTTAAAAGAAAAACATACTTTTCAATTGGTGCTTGATTCTCAAACATCCAACAACTCTTTTCCTTTCTTTACAGTTTTTTATTTATCACCCCAAAATGTATTCCTCCTCCATGCTCTCTGCTTTAGTTCCTGCTTCCAACTAAAGTATAAAAGCAGGGATGGGGAGGCAGGTAGTAAGAGCCCATGCTGCTAATACAGGAAGGTGTAAACCCAACCCCCCAGGACCCATAGAGGCTGATGGGCATGTGCTTGTGAGCCCAGTGCTGTAAGGCGGATGGGAGACCCTGGAGTTCCCTAGCTTTCCATCCTAGATTAGGTTCTAATGTGAACGACTGTCTCGCAAATAAAGGGGATAGCTCCTGCCACTAACACAAACAAAACACTCAAAACACACACACACACACACACACACACACACACACACACCCTACTTACACACACACATTCACACACACACACCCTACTTACATGCAAATTATAAAATGAAAAATAATAAGTAACAGGCAGGTGTGCCTGTTAGTTTTTTGGCAGCTTGCTACAAGTTGGGGTCATCCGAGAAGGGGAAACTTAATTGGGAAAACATTCCTCTTTGATTGACCTGTATGTAAGTCTAAGGGCTGTTTTCTTGATTAATGATTGATATAGGAGGGCCCAGCCCACTGTGAGTGGTGCCACTCCTAGGCAGGTGGTCCTGGGCCATAAGAAAAAACAAGCTGAGTGAGCCAAGGAGAGCAGACCAGTGAGCGGCAGGTCTCAATGGTGAGCAGACCAGTGAGCCGCACTCCTCAATGGTGAGCAGACCAGTGGGCCGCACTCCTCAATGGTGAGCAGACCAGTGGGCCGCACTCCTCAATGGTGAGCAGACCAGTGAGCGGCACTCCTCAATGGTGAGCAGACCAGTGGGCCGCACTCCTCAATGGTGAGCAGACCAGTGAGCGGCACTCCTCAATGGTCTCCATCGCAGTTCCCGCCTTGGCTGCTCTCGGTGATGGACTGTGGCCTGGGACATGTGAGCCAGGCAAACCTTTCCATCCCCAAGCTGCGTTTGTTCATGGTGTTTATCCCAGCCCTAGAAAGCAATCTAGTACAGAGAGGATGTGTAGCTGGAGTTTCTTTCCAGCCTGGTCCCGCAGCCACTTTGCCCCAAAGAAGCACACAGAGACATATGTTAATTTATAAACTGTTGGCTGATGGCTAGGGCTTCTACTGGCTAGCTCTTTCTTAATTACAAACCCATTTCTATTAATCTAAGTATTTCCACGTGGTCTCAGCTTGCCGGAGAAGGGTCTGGATCTGCTTCTCCTTCCGACTACATGGCATCTCCTTGCGATCCTCTCTCTGCCCTCTCCCCAGCCTTCTCCTGGTCTGGTAACCTTGCCTATCTTCCTGCCTGGCCATTGGCCAATCAGTGTTTTATTCATCAACCAATAATAGAAACACATATCCAGAAGGACATCCCCCATCAGGGATGGAGAGATGGCTCAGTGGTTAAGAGTGCTTGCCGTCCCTGCGGAGGATGCCAGTTCCCAGCACCCTCATGGCAGCTCAGTTCCAAGGGATCCAACCTCCCCCTCTGGCCTGCTCCAGCAGTGGGTATGCGCATGGTGCTCTAACATGCATGAAGGCAAAATATCATACCATAAAATATATAAGTTAACCATTTATTAAAGGAGTAACTTACTGTCCTCATCTATGTTTGGCTTCCTTAGTGCTGTTGGGACGTTTGCCCGTGCCCTGGATTGCAGCAGCTCCGTGAGGCAGCCCAGTTTACATATGAGCGCCGCTGCGGCCTCCCGAGACATCACCTTGGTAAGATGCCTCCTGCCACTTTTGTAATTATAAAACCATTAGAACAGTTCTGTAGACTCGGAGCTCTCTGACAGTCGGCCCTTGACTACTAAGTTGATTCAGGCTAGCTGGGACCAGGAAGAAATGCTGAGTTGTAGGTACAGAGTTGAGGAAAAGTTGTATGGGAGATGTAACTCACCGTTCTAACGTGTTGTTTTTCTCACTTTGTGCTTTTCTCTGTTCGTTTACCATGCTGTAGATCATTTACAGTATTTTATTCTTTTTCATAATAAGGGATCCTGTTACTATCACTATTGAGGCTATTGCTGTGGTTACTATGTGTTAATGCGGGGGTGAATATTTAATAATTTTTAGTGCATAAATAATGGGTTTTATTATGACATTTTCATACATGTTGTATACACGCACACACACACACCCAATCTATGTATTTTTTGAGACAGGGACTCATGCAGCCAAGGCTGGCCTTGAACTCACTATGTAGATGAGGCTGGCCTTGAACTCATTATGTAGATGAGGCTGGACTTGAACTCACTATGTGTCCAAGGCTGGACTTGAACTCACTATGCAGCTGGCTTTGAAATTCTGATCCTCCTGCTTCTTCCTCTGTTGGGACTGCTGATTTGTTGTGGGTTTAATTGTTTTTAGCTTTATTTTTTTATTGTGCATGTAAATGTGTGGTGCACGTTAAGTGTATGTGCATGTCATGGGGTTTGCGTGGAGAGGTCAGAGGACAACTCACACTCAGCATCACGCTCCCTGTTTGACTGCTATGTAGCTTAGGCTGGTACTGAACTCCCAATCCTCCCATTTTGGCCCCACCACTACTGGGATACTGGCATGTGCCATCATGCCAGGGCAGAATGTTGTTTGAAGAAAGCTTTGTTGTTTTTTTCCTTCATCGCCTTAGCCTTTCTTCTAAAATAAGTTTGTATTTTGGTTGTTTGCTACTGAAGAATCTTTTATCATGGAGCCAAGAGTGCAGATATTGTAAATGTAAATATTTACCTCTGATGGGGGACATCCTTCTGTATATGTGTTTCTCTTATTGGTTGATGAATAAAACACTGTTTGGCCAATGAGGCAGGAGGATAGGGGGACTGGGAGACAAGGAGAATTTGGGGAAAGGTAGGCGGAGAGAACCCGCCAGAAACAGATGACCTGTAGCCGCCAAAGGTGTAGAAGGTCTGGACAATCTCTGGTAAGCCAGACCATGTGGTTATGGGTTAATAATTAGACAGCTAGCCAAGAAGAAGCCTAGTCATCGACCAACATTGGGGCTGAAGTGGCGGTAGGACCTAGGCGGTACAAGAAAAGCTGCCAACAATATACCTAATATACCTCTCAAATTAGTTTTTAAAAAAGATTCTTAAACAATGTATTATGTGTATGGGTGTTTTGTCTACATGTCTTTCTGTGTGCACCTTTGTGCAGTGCCCATTTAGGCCAGAAGACGAGTCAGATCCTCTAGAACTGGAACCACAGAAAGGTGTGTGCTGGGAATCAAACCCAAATCTTGCTTCACTGCTCATGTTTGAGAGGGCCTTGAACTCTGGGCTCAAAAGAACTCTTGCCTTAGCCTCTGCATCTGGCTCGTATTACTCATGTTCTATTATACTTATAAACACTTTTGCTGTTTCTCATAATTTTGTATTTTAAATTCCACAACCTCTTTTGTGAATTCTGTAAAATTATTCTCTGCTACAGCTGGTATTGATTGGAGCGCCGATTCACGGGGAACTGCTCCTTTAGAATATGGCCGCATGTTGCAAAAATCATCCTGTACACCAGAGTGGAAATTCACAACCCCAAATGCAGTCGCAGTGTGATCTGCACTTTTCTTTTTTATGTGGTTTTGGGGTTTGGTGTGTGTGTATGTGTATGCGGGTGTGTGTGTGTGTGTGTTTGTGTGTGTGCCTGCATTATGCATTGTACCACATGTATGCTTGGTGACCGCTGAGACAGCCTTCTGGCATTCCCTCCTCCTCCTCTGAGTCCTAGGGGTTGAACTCAGGCCATCCGGCTGAGCAGCAAGCACCTCTGCCCCGGAGTCATCTCAGTGTTTCTTTATTTTGTTGCTTTGTTTGCGTTGAACAGCTCCCCGTAATAAGCATTGGCTGGTAAGCCAAGTCTCCTGGGTGTTGTTTGCAGCAGAGCTGAGTTTATCTGAAGTGTGCAGCTTTGCCGTCCACCTTCCTCCCGGGTTTCTCTGATCTGTGGAGCGTTGGCCGTGCCTTCCCATCTGAGCGTCTGGGTGATGATGGTGGCGGGGATGGAATTGAACTGAGCTTCACCCATGCCGGGTGTGCCTTCTATCTCTGAGTGACACCCATCCAACAAATGTTTTCTCTTATCATTTTTAGAGCCTGGGAAGCCCGCCTCCCACTGTTGCATGCTCTTGCTTTGTAGAGATGGAGTGTTATCTGTAACCAGTCCTTTGTTGTTTAACGCCATTCTTAGGAAATCGTGCTTTAAAACTAGGTGCACTCCTGTTACACTGTAGCAGATTGATTCTCTCCGCCCTGACTGAGGATCCAGAGTGGGAAAGCCAATCCCTGACCAGTACTGAGCTGTGTGGCAGTTGGTGGTTGGGGCTGACTTGCCTGGTGGTGATCTGCAGGGTGACCACCTGTGTCACTTGTGTGAGCTTGGGAAGCCTCAGTGGCTTTGTGTCCCATTGCTGGTGAACACGCGTGCCTCAAGGGGATTTGCTCGGGAAGAGGGCAGAGTTCAGTATGAGACTTGTCAGTGAAGACTCTTCATTATATATATTGTGTGTTATATAGTATCATAGCAATATATGTATATATATATATATATATATTTTTTTCTCCTTTTGAGATGAAGTCTTGCTGTGTTACCCGGGGTGACTTGAAACTCTTGGGCTCAAGACAACCACCCTGCCTTAGCCTTCCAGAGTCCTCGAGATGTCAGGTGATGCCGCCATGCCTGGCTGAGGACCATTTATAAAAGATGCACTTTAAAGAGATTGGTTGTATATATCTGTGTATTTTCTAGAAGACCTATTTTTATTTATTATTGTGACATGTGGGAGTATCTATGCCATGACAGTTGTGTGAATTGTGGGTGTGTCTGTGCCGGGACACCTGTGTGATGTGTGAGTGTGTCTGTGCCATGACACCTGTGTGATGTAAGTCAGATGACTTCTGTTTCTCCTGGCTGCACCCTCATGTGCTATAATTACAGCTGTGTGCTGTTATATAGCAGGGTTAATACTTACCTATCATGTGCCTTTTAAGGAGGTGGTCTCCAACTCTCCCTTTGTTCTATTTACTTTCATTAATTGTTTGGAAATCATCTTTATATCACAAGCATTATTTTTTTCAAAATTACAGTAATAAACAATTTAAGATAAATAAATTCATGTATTTAGAGACAGAGTCTCGGCAGTATCCCTGAATGGCCTGAACTCAGCCTGTAGACTGGACTGGCCTCTGCCTCTGACGTGCTGGGATTAAAGGCGTGCCCCATCACATACACGCCATCTCACTACTCTAATACTTTTTCTTCTTGTAAACAGAAGTGGACTTGGAGGTTCAGGCTGTCACGTTGAATCATATCCATTCTCCTGTTCTACTGGGTTCCCTTGGCCTCCTCTTCATTAGAACGCCTGGGCTGCCGCCTCTCTTGAAGATGTAGTGTGTGTGTGTGTGTGTGTGTGTGTGTGTGTGTGTGTGTGTGTGTGTGAGAGAGAGAGAGAGAGAGAGAGAGAGAGAAAGAGAGAGACAGACAGACAGACAGACAGACAGACAGACACCGCATGACACAGAGCGAGGAGGGGGTGGAGAGACGAGATAGACTGAAAGCTAATGCCTTGGCTCCTTCGCTGTAGCTTCGGGTTCACTTGGACCCTTTAGGTCCTGGAAATTTAGGTACAAACTGAGGGGGTCTGGGGAAAGCGTCAATTAGAAGTGCTGACACAAGCTGGCACCCCTCCCTCTCCGCCCCTCACCTGAGGGATGGGCAGGGTGATAGTCATCCCATGCCTGCCTATCATTGTGGGAGCATTGTGCAGGTCTCACACAAAGAAAGATGGCTGTGTAGACACTAAGCAACGGGACCGTGGCGCCAGTGTTGTGTGTGACATGTATACAGTCTGTCCTGGACTGGAACATTGCCAGGCTGTTGGGACTGGAATTGGTAGAGTGTCAACCTGCTTCTCCTCAATTTGTGGTGTTGGCCACAATGACAGCCCTTGGCTTGCAGAGCGTGTCAGTATTGTTAGTGACCTGTTTGTTGGCTCACTGCTGGAGAAACAGTACTCTGGCTTTGCTCTCCTGCCTGGACTCTGAAAACTGAGTAACTTGGAATCAAAGCAGAAGGGATTTTTGTGTTGTAGCCTTGAAAACCTGGTATTCTTCAGGTGATGAGCCCGGGGCACAGATCAGGGAATAAACTGCACAAGGGTTGTCTCTGTGGGCTAGTGACAGGCAGGTCTGGACTGAGGAAGGCTGGCCGTGTTGGTTCAGTGAGACGTGGACTTAGATACTAGGGTGGCTCCACATGTCTGTAACGCAGCTGATCTTCTGAAAGTGTGCCCTTTCCCGCTCCCATCCTGTGAGCCTGTGGTATCATTTAATTGTAATTATGACAAAATACAAATTCTCATTATACCTTCCTCTCTCCAGACTCTTGGTGTCCTCTGGACTCCTGTTAGTTTCCTGGCTTTGATTTCTTTATTGTTGTTTGTTTTGGTGTTTTTGAGACAGGGTTTCTCTGCGACTTTGGAGACTGTCCTGGAACTAGCTCTTGTAGACCAGGCCGGTCTCAAACTCACAGAGATCTGCCTGCCTATGCCTCCCAAGTGCTGGGATTAAAGGTGTGTGCCACCACGCCCGGCTTGTTGTTTGTTTTTGATAGGATCTCACTATGCAGTTCTGGCTGTTCTGGAACTCACAGAAGTCCACCTGCCTCACACTTTGCAATGCTGGGATTAAAAGTGCGCACCACCACACCTGGCTCGTCCTGGGCCTTGTGAG